GCCGAAGTCGGACGCTCAACCGACCGAGACACCCAGGCGCCCCTGCCATAGCCCAGTTCTACTTTGGGATGGAATTAGAGGCCAGCAGGCTCCGTGTCTGTCCAGTCTTCCATTTCCTTAGCGAAAGGAAGAGTTTCCCGCCAACGCCCGGTTTTCTTCCTACACCGCAGCTAGTGTGTGCAGTTTAGACCCACCCACGCAGATATGGGACACTTTGGGTGTGGTTGGTTGGTTAATTGGCTGTTTGTTTGCTTGCTTGTTTACCTGCCTGGCCCCTTTTACGTACTGGTAGCACTGCCTTGTGTGAACAGAGCGACCAGCTTTGTTACCTGCGTGTAAATGGAAATACCTGTGGTTGGCAGGGAGGGAATAAAATTCTAGTTTTTATCACCTCCTGAAGTTGGAGGTGGGGGGATGGAGGGAGCAGGAGCAAAGTAGATGCTTTTTATTTCCTTTCTCTTCCGTCGTCTCTGCTGTTGGTAGGAACGTGAATTATGAAAATATGCACCACTGTCACAGCTGTTGTTACATTATTCAGAAATGTCATCACTGCCTTAACCCATACACTTGTACGATTGTGCTGACCCGTAGTAAACTACAGTTCAAGAATGAACTCTGTCCTGGAGCACCTGGGTGGCTCAGTCAGTTGAGTGTCCGACTCTTGATTTTGGCTCAGGTCATGATCTCATGGTTCGTGGGATCAAGCCCCACATTGGGCTTTGCGCTGACATCGCAGAGTCTGCTTGGGATTCGTTTTCTCTCTCTCTCGCTCTCCCTCTCAAAATAAATAAATAAAACACTAAAAATATTTAACACTGCCCTTTTTTCCAAAGAACACATATATATGGCCAACAGACACATGAAAAGATGCTCAACATCACTAATAAGGGAAATGCAAATCAAAACCACAGTGAGCTATCACCTCATACCTGTTAGAAGGGGTCAAACCAAAGAGACAAGAAAGAACAGGTGTTGGCAAGGATGTGGAGAAGGAGCCCTTGTACACTGTCGCTGGGAACGTAAACTGGTAGGTCACTGTGGAAGACGGTATGGAGGTTCCTCAAAACAATTAAAAATACAAAGACCACGTGATCCAATAATTACACTATCGAATGTTTATCCAAAGAAAACGAAAACACAAATTTGAAAGATACATGCACCCCTACATCTATGGCGGCATTGTTTACAATAGCCAAGGTATGGAAGCAGCCTAAGTGTCCATCAGTAGATGACTAGATAAGGAAGATGTGGTGTGCATACACAACAGAGCATTATGCAGCCAAAAAAAGGATGAGATCCTGCCATTTGAGACAACATGGATGGACCTAGAAGGTATTGTGCCCAGTGAAATAAGTCAGACTGAGAAAGGCAAATACCATGTGGTTTCACTCCTAAGTGAAATCTGAAAACAAAAGAAAAAATAAAACCCAAAAAGCAAAATAGCATACGTATAAATACAGAGAAAAATCCTGATGGTGGCCGGAAGGGCAGGGGGATAGGAGGTTGGGCAAAATGAGTTAAGAGGATACAGGTCTTTAGTTATGGAACGAGGAAGTCACGGGTATAAAAGGCACAGCACTAGGAATATAGGCAGTGATATTGTAACCGCGACGTATGGGGACAGAAGGGAGCCATGCCTGTGGTGAGCATAGCGTTGTGTACAAATCTGTTGAATCGCTGTGTTGTACACCTGAAACTGATGTCACATTGAATGACCACTGTACGCGACTAAAAAAGAAAAGAAATTCCATTTTCAAAAAGTCAGCATTTGTCTCAAAGTATTGAAATGTACGGTTTATTAGCTCATCCCAGCCAGAGTTGGCAGTAAAGGGGCCTTATATCATTAGTGTTAACTGTTCAGAGACTTGATTATGGGTTTAGCCATTTGTCCCCAAACACACAAGAAGAGACTCAGTGACAGCTAGGTGCTGGGGGGACTCTGGGGCCAGGCGATAGACAAGGGAGCTCACGTTTCACTAGTGGACAGAGTCCTGCACCTCCCGGGGCTTTGTTTTCTTTCTTGCATGCTGGCTGCTATTTGAGTGCATCCCCCATCAATGGCGTCAAAACTGAGACACCTTATGTGGACACCTAAGTCACTCAACTGATTTTTGCTACCTCTCTGGGGCTAGTAAAGGAAATGAACATAGAGCCAAAGACTTTTCAACTTATTTTTGACGTTCACTTAAATTTTCAGTGCTGCGTATCCAAATGTTGTGCAGTAGTAGCAATTTCAGGAACGGGGACAGAATAGACTGTCTTTATTTTTAGAGTAGATCATTCTGAAAGTCTGCTCCAAAAGTAGATTCATTTATTATTTCAAAGAACTTCTGGTTTTATTTTTGTGTGTGTTTATTTGAGAGAGAGAGAGAGACAGAGTGTGAGCAGGGGAGGGGCAGAGAGAGAGGGAGACACCGAATCTGAAGCAGGCTCCAGGCTCTGAGCTGTCGGCACAGAGCCCGCCGTGGGGCTTGAACCCACGAACTGTGAGATCTTGACCTGAGCTGAAGTTGGACGCTTAACTGACTGAGCCACCCGAGGTGCCCTTCCAAAAGAATATTTAAAATGGCCCATCTGATCGTTCACTACTGCAATTAAGAGACCCCAATTAATCTTATTTACAGAAACACTTATCTTTTTTTTTCTTTACTGTTTATTTTTGAGAGACAGAGCGTGAGTCGGGGAGGGTTGGAGAGAGAGGGAGACACAGATATGAAGCAGGCTCCAGGCTCCGAGCTGTCAGCACAGAGCCCGACGTGGGGCTCGAACCCACGAACTATGAGATCATGACCTGAGCCGAAGTCGGATGCTCAACCTGCTGAACTACCCAGGCACCCTAACAACTATCTTTAAGTAGAGAACTTGGATTCTTGGTCAAGTTTCCCTAATATGCTTGTTCATTCACTAAACCTCCTGAGCATTTTTGTGCAGCACAGCTGTGTCCTGGGCACATAGGGCTCCAGGGCCCATGGAGCCCGTCAGAGGAGGCAGACAAGAAGTCTGGATGTGGTCGCTGCTACCGTGTGGATGGAAGGACCCCTGCTCTGCGGGTCTGAAGGTGCAGGAGGAGGGGGAGGATCTGATGGGAGCACGGTTGGGCTGGGGAGTAGGGCAGGGATAATGCGGGGGGCACAGAAACGGCAATGCTGTGGTCCAGGGACAAGAACAGGCTGGCACCCGAGACTGGGGAGCAAAAGGACACCATCGTGCCAAGACGGTGAGTGGTGGGTAGAATGGCTCGAAACAAGATTCAGGGAGCGGGCAGGGCCCTGTCGTTCTGGGTTGGCGCTCGCCCTGCGCTCCAGTACGATTAAACTTCCCCTGTAGCGTTTCCCGGAGTTACCGAGTATGTCCTGAAGAGCTGACTGGGGACGGGGTCGGGTGCAGGAGAGGGACCCCGCATAATCATCCCACGCAGTGTAGTCCACGTGAGAGTCGAGGTTTTATTTTAAGGGTTGTGGGCAGACGTTGAGGGGCATTAAGAAGGAGACGTTAAGAAGGAGAAGATGAAGTCTTATTTAGGAGGGTGCTGCAGTTGTGGGGACGGGAAATAAGGAGGCCCTGGGCTGGGGTTCGTCGGTGAGTCGGGATGACGTGCCTGGGTTAGAGGTGGTAGCAGTAGGACTTGTCGGTGAGAAAATGGAAAGGGCAAGGAGATACCAGTAAACCCTGCTTATCACTTACTGCCAGCGTTCAGTGAGGGGTAGTTTTAAAGGATTCCGTAAAGCGCAGAACCTGTTGTCAAAGTTTACAGCTCAGTTGTACACCGTTGTGTCCTTAGTTACAGGACGGAAGCTATTTTAGCCGTACGAGTAGCTGTGCTCTGAATGCGCTCCCCTTTAAGAAGGTGCCTTGGTTGTTGTGTGTCCACGGGACCGGGAAGGGACTGGTGTTGCCGGCTGATGTGGGTAGCACCACGGCAGCGTCCTGGGCACCGGGCAGTGGCCGGTGTCCAGAATTCGGGAAGAAAGCAGCCCGTCACTCCCGGGATGTGGGAACCAAGGACGAGGGTGGCGGAGGAGATAGTAGGTTTTTTGAGCCTGGCTGCTTCAACAAAGTGGGGAACGCGGCATTCTGTTTTTGTGTTGAATGTGGAATAACGGTGCTGAGTACACATCTCAATTACACTGTCCTGGGTCTGGGAAATTCTACAAGTGCCTCACAGATCCGTGCGTATGTGTGTCTCGGCTTGCACGCGTTTCTCGTCTCTGCCTTTCTCGACCTCCTCTTCTCCGGCACATACATTTGTATTCATCCTTCAGGGCCTGTTTCCAGTATCCCTTCCGTTGTAACGTTTTCCCGACTCTGCCAAATAATCACTCCCTCCTCCAGGCTCCCTTACTGTGTTGCATGTGCCTTCAGCGTTGTCTGTCTTTCATTCCGTGGGGAGAAAGAGAACAGACAGGTGGGCTGGGTACTTTCAAAGCCCTCGTCTTTGTCTCTCGGGCCAGAGGCACTAAGTCCGTTACTGAAACCTCGTCCACGGGAGAGTTGAGTTGACTGCTGTCTGTAAGTACCGCCGAAGACGTGGAAGATGAGAGGTCAGGACGCTGGACACACTGCTTCTGGACAGGGTTCCACTTTTTGCCGTAACATTTTACTGAATAGCTGACTGTGTACTGGAGATGGGGGAGAGGGGCAGAATAAACTGTCCTGCAGCAGAGGTTACTACAAAAGAGTCTTTAATTTGCCCTGTTTGAGATGCACAGTCAACCCAACAGGCCATTTCTGGTGCCAAGAAGCCTGGGAGAAGAAGGGACCAGATTCTTTCTTCCAGAGGAGCAGCTCCAGTGAGAGAGCTTTTGTTACGGCAGGACCAAAGAATTAATCGAGAAGCATTCATTCCCTTGACAACATTTTGGAAGGCACTTTCAGCTCTAAGTTGTTTCGAGAAGTCTGTAACAGTAAATTGTAAATTACAGAGGCGCCAGAAGCGAGAGGGCAGCTCGAAGCTGCTGGAGAGAAGTGCAGCCCAGCCTTTCTTAAAGGGACTGTGTTGGAGGCTGTGTTTTTGTTTTTGTTTTTCCCTACTGCCACCATCTCCTTTTTTAAAAAGAAAAAAACCAAAAAAAAAAACAAAAAACAGAAACAAAAAAAAAAACCCATTTCCTAGCCTTCACTTAATGCTTTGGTTTGAACTGCCTTAAAAGGATGAATACAGAGACAATAATCAATGCATATCAATTCTTACTTTTCCTTTGAACGTTTTCAGTTCTAGCTCCTCTGCCTTTGAAATGGCATACAGCGTCCTTCTAACTCTGCGCGTTGGGAAAGAGAACGGAAGGTGGGTAGACACTTGGAAGGGAAGGTCCGTTTGTACCCCGCGGCAGAAGAGACCCAGAGGAGCCAGTTCTCAGTCAGCGCTGTGAGAAGCGCCCCCAAATGACAGGGCTGGCGCTGGACGTGACCACGTGCATGGGGTCCTCACGGGCACAGAAGGCGCCTCTCTCAAATAGCCTCTGAAAATGCATCCCGGGTAGAAAATCTGGAACTGTCTGACAGGTCGTGGCATGAATGTCTTTGTTTTATGCGCGTTTCCGAAAGGTCAGGGTGTGACCAGGACGAGGGCTCCGACTTGTTTCATTCTAGAGGAATTTTTTGCTTCACAAGTTGCTGCATCATGATCCTGCCTTTGAACTCGTCTTAAAATTTTAACGTGCGTTTTCAAACCTTGTCTTCTAAGAGGTGACTTTTATTGACTGCTTTCCTTGTAAAATTACAAGAACCAGATTTAAATTTTAAGAATCTTTTTTTTTTTTACACACACACACACACACACACACACACACACACAAATCATGGAAAATCACATGAGAATTACTTGTGTCACCCTGAATTCTGGTTGTGAACAGGGTAGTTAATTGTTGTAGTCGTAAGCCAAGTGGGCCTATCACTTACAGTTCATCTTTCCCTGGAAGTCATTTTATAGCCCTCCTGTCTCACAGCTCAGTATAACGCCCGTAATCATCCTTGTAAATGGCCAGCTGTTACTACATCATACTGCTGCGTGATGCAATTTGCTTCATCATTCCCCTTTGACATTTTAATTCCCAGTTCTTTTTTCTTCTGAATAGTGACTCTATAAACAAATTAGAAAAAAAAAAGCTTTGGTGTTCTTTCTTCTTTGTACTTTTTGTAGGTGCATATAAACCCACTTTGGGGGCTGTGACCCCAGGATATCTGTTTCTGAAGATAGAAACCACCCAGGAAGATTGGATTATCACGTAAAGGCCCTGGCGTATCTGATGGGTTTTTTTCCCCCTCAGGTCCATCACGATGGCCTTGTCACTTTCGCAAGAGTTTTCTCAAAGTTACTGCTATTTTGCATATCTGTTAGACTGGAGTTTCAACTGTTGTGTGCTTACCCCTGTAAAAAAATATTTAGGGGCGCCTGGGTGGCTCAGTTGGTTAAGCATCCGACTCTCAGTTTTGGCTCAGGTCATTGTCTTGCGGTTTCGTGAGTTCGAGCCCCACACTGGGCTCTGCAGAGCCTGCTTGTGATTCTCTCTCTCTCCCTTCCTCTCCCTCTTTCCCTCCCTCTCCCTCTCCCTTTTTACCCCTCCCCCACTCACACTATCTCTGTTTCTCTCAAAATAAATAGATAGACTTAGTAAAAAACAATTTTTTAAAAAATATTTAGAGCAGGGGTTGGTAAGTTTTTCTGTAAAGAATCAGAAACTTTTTAGGGGGCGCCTGGGTGGCTCAGTCAGCTGAGCGGCTGACTTTGGCTCGGGTTATGATCTCGTGGTTTGTGAGTTTGAGTCCTGCATCGGACACCCTGCTGTCAGCACAGAGCCCACTTCGGATCCTCTGTCTCCCTCTCTCTCTGCCCCTTCCCTACTCATGCTCTCTCAAAAATAAAGTAAAAATTTTTTTAAAAAAGAGGTATTTCAGGCTTTTTGGGCCACCTCTGTCACACACTCTTCTTTGTTTTTGTTTTAACAACCTTTGAAAAATATAAAAACCACTTGTAACTCAAAGGGCGTACAGAAACAGGCTGTAGGTTGTAGTTTTTGTTGACCATTGATCGTAGAGTATTAAATTTTTTAGACTTTGGACATGGAAACCCTAACTCTGATGATCATCTCTAAAGCTGTTTAGATCAGGTAATGATGATTTGCAAGCCAGCCTCACACTGAACAGAGATGCAAAGTCCAGGCTGATTCTCCCTGGCCCGCTGTCCCGTCTTCTCTTTCTTCCAGGAGATTGTTGTGTTGCATAGCTCTTCCTTCTGCAGTTCGTATTTTTTCCCTTCTATTCTGGCTCCTTTGCCCCAGCACAGAGACGTGCTCGCGTCACCGCCACTACTGACACACAGGAGACGTGCACATGTCCTGTGGATGCGTCTCTGCATCCTCTGCTACAACCACCTGGTCCTTCACACAAGAATCTCTCTTTATCTTGTCCGTGGTCTCCTCTCCTCTTTTTCCTTCCCTCTGTTCCTATCTTACCACTCCATAAAACTGTTCTTTTAAAATTGCTAAGGGGTACCTGGGTGGCTCAGTTGGTTAAGCGTCCAACTTCGTCTCAGGTCATGATCTCACGGGTCATGGGTTCAAGCCCCACCTTGGGCTCTGCCCTAACAGCTCAGAGCCTGGAGCCTGCTTCAGATTCTGTGTCTCCTTCTCTTTGTCCCTCCCCCACTCATTTTTTCTCTCTCTCTCTCAAAAATAAATAAACGTAAACAAATTAAAACAAATAAAATTGCTAAAATAGAATTGCCAAATCTAGCGAAAACCTGGAAGTGTTTATCTGACTTGACCTGTCTGCTGTATGTATCACTCCTGGCCATTCTCTTGACACCTGGTCTCTCCAGGCTTCTGTGATGCCTCTTGTCCCTTTTCACCTGCAGTTGGCTTTGCTGGCTCCCCTCCCTGTCTGCCCCATACGTGATAAGGTGATGCGGCCCAGGTTTCTGTCCGCCCGTCTGCCCTCTCATGACATCATCTACTCCAGAGACGTCGCCTGCTCCTTGGCCTCTCTCCTGAGCACCAGGCCTTGACGGCCTGCTGCAGGGCCACCCTGCCCCCCAACCCTGGCAGGCTAGCTCCCCTCCCCCAGGTGGGTGGTCCTCCCTTCACTGGGAGAAACTGCGGGTCCTTGGGGATGCACCTCCCTCTCCCTCTGCACCTAGTGATGCCATGACCCATCATTTTGACCTCTCAGATCTCTGCAACCTGCCTCGCCTTCACCATCACTGCTGCTCATGTTCCAGCT